ACACACACACACACACTTTGTAGGTAAACCAGTATAAAATTTTTAAAAAATGAGTTGCAAAAGGGGGAAAATGTTCATGACAATCAGAATATGACCTTTAATCCATCCCAAATGAATTTTAAAACTATCTCAAAAATAGATTTTATACACTGAACACTAGTGACTGCAGACCAGTTAAGATGTGGGATGATATCAAGGACACCATTCATGAACAAAGCACAAGGTCATTGCAAAGACAAGAAAGAAAAGACCAATGTGGATATCAGAAGAGACTAGGGTGTAGGTTACCTTTAAGGATGTAGTGAGAGATCTCAGCACTAGGGAAGCTTCCTAGCTTCTAGTTGTCCTCTCCATCACTGTCAGTGTGTTGCTATAATGCTGTAAAATACACTACAGGTCATAGTTTCCAGATTACGACAAAGTGCCAGACTATCTACCTCTGAATAACTGGCTAGTGAGAAACTTTATGAATGACAGCAGGACACTGTTATATAATGCCAGGTGAACCTCTCTAGTTGGAAGACGCTCAAAATTCAAAGAAGTGAGGAGCTGCATGCTGATAGCAGAGTCTGCCTAAAAGACAGTGCTATACAATGGGTTCAAACACAGCAGTGATTGTGGGGCTGGCACAGGTTCCAGGAACATTTCATTCTGTGGCCCACAGGGTTACTGTGAGTTGGAATCAATTCTTCAACACCCAACGGAACCAAGTACACAGTGATACTCTGCTGCTTGATTTGAATGCTAGGTCATAAATATGTTCAGTTTGGGAGAATTCATCAACTGTATATTTGTGATACATACATTTTTCTATGAGTATCTAAAAAATTTAATTATGAAAATTTTTAAGTAGTGTATACATACATTGGAAGTAAACACCATCTCAACAATTTCTATGTGGATGGTTTTGTGACACTGACTACATTCTCTTGTTGAACACAACCATTCTCCTTGTCCTTTCCCAGATCATTTCACTGCCATTAACATAAACTCAGAGCCCCCTAAATAAAAACTTCCTCTTTCTCCCTCCTTCTTATCCCTGTTGTTGTTGTCAGGGGCTGTCAAGTCGAGCACAACTCATAGCAACGCTATGAACAAAAGATCTGAACCCTGTGTTGTCCTGTGTCTCCCTGACACATAAGAGCTCATTGCAGCAGTCACCATGTCAATCTACCTGGTTGAGGGTCTTCTTCTCCTTCGTGACGCTCCACCCTTCCCAACACCACATCCCTCTCCAAGGAATAACACCTCCTAAGGACAAGAGATCTGAAGCCTACCTCATCATCTGTGCCACCCTAGAGCCTATTGTTACATAACTCTATCAATCCATCTTGTTGAAAATCTTCCCCTCCTTTGTAGATTCTCCACTTCTCCAAGCATCCAAGCATGGTGTCTTCTTCCCAGAACTGGACCCTTCTAACAACATGCCAGAAATAAGTAAGGTGAAGTTTCACCATCTTTTTATCTAAGGAGTATACTAGCTGTACTCTTTTCAAAACATTTGTTTGCTTTCTTGGCAGTTCATGGGATATTCCGTGCTCTTCTCCACCGCCCAAGTCAAAGGCATCGGTTCTTCTGTCATCCTTTCTCATTGCCCAACTCTCAAATGTATAGTAAGTAATTGAAAAGACCATGCATGGCTTGCATCAGGCATTCTTGAAACTGGCATTCCCGCTCTTCAGTACTTTGGAGAGGTCCCTGACTGCAGACCTCCTCAATGTAACATGTCTTTTGATTTCCTGGATGCTGGGACCAAAGTTGTTGCTTGTGAATCAAAATAAAATTAAATAATTGACAACTTCAATCTTTTTTTCATCTATCATGATGTTGCCTACCAGCTTGGTGGTGAGGATTCATCCATATTGTGGCACATATCCAGACTACATTCCTTGTCATGGCCAATAATATTCCATTGTCTGCAGACTCCATAATTTGTTTATCCATTCCTCAGTTGTTGGGTACTTAGGCCATTTCCATCTTTTCACAATTGTGAATAGTGCTGCAGTGAACATTGGTGTGCTTGTGTCTGTTTGTCTTGCTGCTTTCAGGTCTTTTGATGTATGTATTATTTCAATGAAGACTCAAAAAGGGAACTGCTCTAATTGTGTCTTTGGCAGGAGATAAAGAGCCCCTCCAAAATTCTCCTTTTCCCTCTACTTTGAGGGATTCACAGGAAACCCTAAGACTCTTCAGAGAATACTTTGAAATCACTGAGCTCAGTTGAGTGACTTCAATTGTGAGGATTGTTGACTCGCCCAAGGTCCCATGGAATCAGCACCAGAGCCCAGGGCTCCTGGTTCTTGGGATATTATTCCTCTGCTGAGAGGCCAGTGTCATGAGTGAGCACTGGGGGTAGCTGTGCAGCCTCCTTTTCCTTTCCCACCCCCTTAACTTGGGGTTTGGGAGCAGAGCCAAGACTCTGGTGCAGATGATGCTTTTCTTATCCTAGAGCAATTTCCTTTCTGGGAACTGGGTGTCTCCTTCTGGGCAAAGACAATAAAATTCATCCAAAGGGCCAGAGGAGCAGGTTCCTCCTGCCCCCAACCGGATGGGCATCACGTGGCTCCCTGGGTTAACAGCCCAGGAAAATTCCAACCCTTGCACACTCAGCCTCCTACATCCATCCGCTCACCATCCTGGTACACACAGACTCCTAGGCCCACCTTGAACATTCAACATCACACCCTCCCTGGCACATCTCTTTCATCTTTGGCTTCTGCCTTCTCTCCTTGAACATTGCCAGCTCTGCTCTGTCATCCACCCCACCCCTACCATGTCCCTCGGCTCACTAAAATTCCAGGCAGTAGGTGAAGAGGATGAAGAGATAGAGGAAGAGGAGAGCCTAGACTCTCTGAAGGCTCTGACGGCCAAGCTGCAGTTGCAGACACGGAGGCCCTCCTATCTGGAGTGGACAGCCCGGGTCCAGAGCCAGTCCTGGCGAAGGGCCCAAGCCAGACCTGAGACTGGGGGACCTGGGGCTATATGTGGCTTTGACTCAATGAACTCCGCTCTCGAGTGGCTCCGCCAGGAGCTGGTGAGTAACCCTGTAGAGGGCCCTTGAGTCAATCTAGCTTAGCATTCAAGACCAGGGGTTCAGGGAAGGAGGTGAGAGTGGCCCCCATCCCCAGCATTAGCCACTCTTTGGCTGTATCTTGGTGCTGAGGAGCTCAAGACGTGGATTTATCAAGACTTTTATCCTGGGGGCTAGGGTAGGACTTTGCTGAAGAAGGATTCCACCCAATCCACTAAACTTGTGCCCTGTATTCCTGAAGCTTAGGGAACAGAGTCCTGCCCTTCCAGAGACACCAGTTATCAGTGGGGGGAAGCCTTAGCCATATTAACTTTGAGAATTGCTGTGCTCCAGAAATGGTGAAGTACAAAAGGACACTCTGACCTTGCTGCAGGCAGAAATCTGAGGGGTTGTGTGTTGACTAGGTAACTCTCAATACAGCTTGCACAAATATAAAGAGGGTGAGATTTAACTTAGTTGATCTGGAATGGGGTATCTGTATTATTTAAGCACACCTCCTTAGCTTGGCTTGGGAACCACCAAAATGGAGCAAGATATGAGAGATGATATGGGAGCAAGCTAGGCTGAGAAGAGTCCAGGCAGGGAGCAACCAGTGTGAAGTCTCGCGGCGTTGACAGGAAGGGACCAATGATGGCGCAAGACTGAGGGCCGTCCAACCAAGGCTCACTCCCCCTCTCGGCTGCAGCGGGAGATGCAAGTCCAGGACCGGCAGCTGGCTGGGCAGCTGTTGCGGCTTAGGGCCCAGCTGCACCGGCTGAAAGTGGACCAGGCCTGTCATCGGCACCAAGAGCTGCTGGACGAAGCCGAGCTGGAGCTGGAGCTGGAGCCGGGGGGTGGCCTGGCCCTGGCCTCCCCACTAAGACACCTCGGCCTCACTCGTATGAACATTAGCTCCAGGCGCTTCACTCTCTGCTGAGGGATGTCTGCATGTCTCCTGGGAAGACTGCTCCACCCCTGGGAAAAAGGGTGGGGGAAAGGGGTGCCCCAGAGGCCTCAGCACCTGGCGGGGATGTGGTGGAGGTGGGGGTGGGTGGATGAAGTCAGCTCTCAGAAATTCTGAGAGCTCAAAGAGTTGGCATCCTGCCCCTCCCCGTTGGCCCAGCTGGGGAGAAGGAGATGTTCAAAACCTCCATGGCTCCTTAATAAACTCCCTCCTTGCTTCTCAACAAGGTCTCTGAATTATTTTTATTTAGGCCTAGGGTCTCCTGCCTGTATCTGGGACCAGATGGGCTTGTAGAAAACTAGGGGACGAGTGGACAACTGGGGGGGAGTTGTAAATGGGGCTTCATCTCCCCCAGAGTTCCAGCCATCTCTGTCTTATAAAGATCAGAACTGAAAAAGAACTTAAAATTCTAAATTACTCCTATGTGGTAAAATTGAGAATGAACGACCTGGTAGACTGGATGGCCTGGGAAGGAGTTGCTCTGTTATCCCAGAGGCACATGGTTTGAATCCAACAGCTGTTCCGAGGGAGGAAGATCTTTACTACCTCTGAAAACCTGCTGGAGGGTTGTCAGTTCTGACTGAATGGCACCTAAAGACAATATCAGCTACCTGAATTAGAAATGAGGAGGTCTTTACCCTCTGAAGCTGTTTCCTCACCTCTGAAAAGGAGGCACTAATTCTTACTCTAAAAGTGATCAGGTATGATTTCAGTGAGATAATGCCCAGCCCCCACTTAATGTCATCTGTCTATTGTTGCTCATTATTACCACCCAGGAGTGTTATTACTACTGAGCTAAGGCCCAGAGATGGCCTGTGACTTGCTCATAGTCACACAGCAAGGTCAGCTGGGCCCTCCACCCTGCACCAGCCGGGGTTCTGGGCTCTGTGCCACTCTAGAGGTTTCTTACTTTGTATCTCTCAGCTTTTGTTTCTGTATTACCCTCTTTGTCTGACTTTCCAACTCGGGCTTCCTCTTCCCCCACCCATTTCCTGTCCCCCCCCCCTTCCCTCCGCAGCTGAGGTGCACACAGCATCAGCTTCCACCTCACAAACCCCAACAATAATCTGTGGGCTCCCCTCCCCCTGCCTGAGCAGCTTTGAGTAGCCTCAGGAGGTGATGCATTCACACTTTTCTCAGGGTGGAGTCAAGGTCTAGCTCTTGGGCAGGTGGAGGTTGAGTGGAATTCCACAGGTCATTGAGGGCCTGTTTCTCAGCCTATGATGGTGCCATCCGGGTCTAGGCTTGCCTGCTGCTCCTTGTATACAGGTCCAGTGGTCCAAGGTCTGCACCTGGCTTCCTGGCAGGCCCCAGTTGCTGGTCTGTTTTCTACCTGATGCAGGAGATGGTGCCAGGCCCTGCATGTCTAACGGGTCTGTAGACTTCTATTTGAATTAGAACTGCTGCCCTATTCTCCAGCTGTAATCAATGGGTGCTGCCCTACCCTCCGGAGTCACTGAGTAGTACAAACTGTTACTGTGCTCACCATAAGGTTGAGAGTTTGAATCCCAGAGGCTCCTCAGAAGAAAAGTCTGGCAATCTGCTGAAAAGGCCATTGGAAACCCTCTGGAGCACAGTTCGACCGGATACATAAGGCATAATTACGCCATGAGTTGGAATTGACTAGAGGAGAATAGATTTGGGTTTGGCTTTTCTCTTTGCCTACAAGGATGTTTCTCTGCCCTCTTAGAGGAGTGGGGTTGTTCTGCCTGCTTCTGAGGCTGGCTGTTGTCCAGCGTTCTGTCTGCAGGAAGGGTGTTAGTTGATCCCCTGACTGTAAGAAAGCTATCCTTCCTGTCCCTTGAGTATAGCATGGGTGCTGTTCAGTATGACAAAGGTATTGTTTTTCTCTCCAACTACTTACGTTGTCCTCTCCTCCAACTCTGAAGCAGTATTATCTTGTAGTAATAAACAGGTTTCAGACAGTAATAAACAGGTCACTCAGCTCAGAAACGCTAACAGCTGTGCTCTTTCACGAGAAGCTGAATGTACATCTGTTTGCCCCCAGCTCACTGGGCTCAAAGGCTGCCCCTGGATCGCTAGTCCAGGTGCACCCTGGGAGGCAGGAGAGGAGGTTCTATTAAACATCCTCCCCCTGACTTTTGTCCTACAAGTACCCATTCTCAGGGTGAGTGGGACCAGACCCTAGAGGTGTATGTGACCCCCAGAGCGCAAAGTTGGGGGGCTATGGTAGCAGGAAGCTTGGGGTGCTGAAGGCTTGTGGTTGGGCTGCTGGGGCTGGGTTGGCTGAGGAGCCCTCGGGAGGAGGCAGGAAGTCAGAGTGGGACGTGGGCGCGAGGAGACAGGCGGTGGCTACAACGGTGAGGGGAGCTGAAGCTGCATCGGGGCAACCAGGCCAGGCCAAGGGGACCATGTGAATGGGGCCAGAGGGCTCCTGGGCTGGGCAGGTAAGGAGCACTGGGGATAAGGGTCTAGGGGTTCTGGTGAGAGGCCTGAAAGCAAAGGGCAGGAGCCCCAGAGCATGCATCAACCCTTCAGGTTGAGGAACAGAGAAATAGCAGTAGTGGTCATGTGGACGGTATGGATTATGACCACTTCTTCTCTACGTAGCAGCAGCTCTTACCCCTGTCACACTGTGCGCCACAAAACCCCACCACATTGGGACCATATTCTTGGAAAATCCAATACATGGACTGTGAGCTGTTAAAAAAAAAGTCAGAAATCACCAAGTCCAGTCCTTGAAGTGATGGATAAGGTTACCGATGACCAGAGGGATCAAGATGCTCACTGGCCTACAGTCCTAATGCAGTGGCTGTGCCAGGCTAGAAGACCCCGGGAGAGTGATAGCAGAGTCTTACCCCTTTCTGCCCCTGTGAGTAGAGTGGTGGACAGGCTTGAGTCAGGGGAACTCAGGAACCCTTCTGGTTCCTAGGCAGAACTAGTGATCAAGCCTCCTGACAGAGAGAGAGGCCTCGCCCAGGGCCCCCAGATGGACACGTGAGAAGCTATTTCAGCTCTCACTGACCAGCACTGCTTGAGAGGGGAAGGAGTCTCCTGGTTGAGTGGGTGGACATGAATCATCTGAGATGGACTCTCGGGGCGGAAACCTCTGGTCTGACTTTGGGAAGTTAGAGGAGAGAGAGTGATGGGAGAAGGTGGGGGAAAGGGCAATTTTTATCCCTGACAGGGATGCAGTTGGTCCTGGGCAAAATCCTCCTGAACTTCCATCTGGAAAAGTTGTCATTCCTGCGCCTGACAAGTGTCACAAGACGGTCCCCTTGTTCCTTCCCTGCTTCAGCCCCATACACTGTGGCTACATGTGTAGAGCCAGAAGGTCCTGTGATTGTTGCTTCAAATCCGAGAGAGGTGGAGGCCCAGGACAGCGTGGCAGCTACCCGCCCACCCCCTCACTCTTGAGCTCTGGGCTTTCAGTTTATTGGGGGAGTCCCCACCTCAGCCAGCCATTCCAGCTTTCCCTTCCTCACCCTCTACCACTGGAGGTTTTCTTGACACACAGTTTCGGCCATGTCAGCACATCTTGGCTTTTCTCCATGCCCATGCCTGAAGCCTTGCGTGGCAGCTGGAGGGTGTGCTGACCTGGCCTGTGCTTTAGCGGGTTCATCCGCAGCCTGGACGGGAGAAAAGAGTCTGTTGCACTCAGGTTGGTGCTGGTAAATCAATCAACAGCATTCCTCCCCAGGATGCGAGAATAGATAAGATACTCTTCTCAGAAGTGGAGAAGAGGCCTAGTGACTGGGCTGCGAAAGGCTGAGGGTTCAGCAGAGGAGAGAAAGTTTTCCTCGGGAGACTCTGGAAGGCTTCCTGGAAGAGTTGGAGAATTTCGGAGAAGGACAAAGGTCCCTTGTGGTGAATGTCCTGGACAAGACTCCAAGGATGTTCAGAGCAAGGGCAAAACAAGGAAGTCAACAGGTGTAGTGTACAGTAGTGTGCAAAGAGCAGGTGTTTCATAGTCAGGCCGACCCAGGTACAATTCTGGTTCTGCCATTTCCTTGGATGAGTGGTTTTATGTCTCTGAACTTTAGATTACTTATCTGTAAAGAGACAATGATAAATCCTCCCTTTCAGAGTGCTTGTGGGGAATTGTAGAGAAAAATAAGGCCTCTGGTGTACCCCATGGTCCATAGTGAGGAATTCATCTACAGCAGTTTGCATGCACCGCTGGCTCCGAGGGAAGAAGATGGACAGGGTCCTCCCATGTTGATTTATAGCCTCAAAAACTGATGGAAAGTTGCTATGAGTTGGAATAGACTTGATGTCAATGAGATGAGATGTGGCAAACCCTAGGTAGTGCTCGATGCATACAGACGTTTAATGGAGTTGGACGCTCTCTCCCCCTGCAAATAATGCACCACCGGGAGGGCTGTCCTCACTCCGAATTCTATCCACTCCAGTTGGCACCTTGTTAGGCTGGTGAACGGCCCATTCCCTCACACTTACAGTGTGGCTTTGCATATAAGCCCGTTTCCTGTGTGCAGTGGGTGTGAGAACTCGGTCAGGCTGGATTCTGGGCTGGGCCATAGAGTCTGTCTCAGAGGAGAGTTCACATACTGGTTGACTTGCTCACGTGCACCCCCAACCACCCACACACTCATGCACTTCACGCACTCCCATCCCTATCCAAAATACACCATTCACCTGCTAATGTTGAGAGCTCTGGTGGCTTCATCTGTAGGGAGTTGCACTATTAACCCAAAGACTGTATACCTCTATGACAGTTTGAATTCACCACTAGCTCTAAGGGAGGGGGATAGGCAATCTTCTCCTTGCCATCTTCAGACGCAGAAGCCTAATAATAGAGGGCAGCTTTAAGTTACTTCTACAATGAGTTTGAGTTTTGAGCCAGCAAGTCAATTCTGGCTCTTAGCAACTCTCCACCAGCTCTCTGAAGCTATAAATCTCTATGAAGGAGCTCTGTAGGAAGTTGTGCTTTTAATCCAAAGGCTGTGTTGTTCTGCTGGTTCAAACCCACTAGCAGCTCTGCAGGAGAAAAATTACAACCTCAGAAAACACACTAGAGGGTCAGCTATGAGTAAATTCTGACCCGATAACAATGAGTCTCCATGGCGATGAGTGAGTGACATCTGTGTGGAAGACATTGTCTGTCTTTCTCCTGAGGAGAGGCTGGTGAATTCCGCTTGCTGACTTTTTTTGTTAGCAAGGCAACACGTAATGCACTTAGCCACCGGAATATCTATCTGCAATAGATACTACCATGTGGAAAAGAATGTGTTTATGTACTTTAGGGCTCATAGATAAGGATCCCTGGTGACACAACAGTTAAGCATTTGACTGCTAACTGGAAGATTAGCAGTTCAAACTCACCCACTGGTTCCATGGGAGAAAAACCTTAAGATTCAGTGCTTTTGTAAAGATTTCAAGCCAAGAAAAGCTATATGGGGTGTATATACTGTGTCAAAATGGATTGCTGAGTCAGAATCAACTGGCTGGCACCAAAGAACAACAACCTGTTCCAAGGCAGGGACTCCACACACAACAGATGCTGTTGAGTGTGTTAGGTGCTACAGAGTCGATTCTAACTTTGTCCAATCCTGTGCATAACCTGTACTGGGCTTAAACCCCTGGTTCAGTCACTGTGCCAACCCATCTCTTTAAGGGTCTTCCTCTTCTTCGCTGACGTCTCCCTCCAAGGACTGACCCATCCTGATCACACACACTCCCAAGTACTGGCACACAGACACACTTTCTCCTGTTTCTCTTTCAGAAGCCTGTTTATTTATCCATGCCTCTGGTTTCTCCCCATTTCTTAAGGGAGAAAGAAATAAGAATTAAGAAACTGATAAGAAAGCACAAAATAAAATGCTCTGATAAGCACAAAATAAAATGCTCTGATGAGCTAGAGCTCTGGTGACATAGTGGGTAAGGAGGTGTGCTGTCAACCCAAAGGCAGGCAGTTCCCGGAATCCTTCAGCTGCTCAGAAGGAGAAAGACTGGCGAGCTTCTCCTGTACAATTTACAGCCTCTGAAAACCCACTAGAGAGTCAGCTATGAGTTGGTTCCAACTTGAAGACTCATACAAAAACATAATGAGATCAATTAGAACTAGGGGACAAAGATGAGAAAAAAGATAAAATAAGGATAAAAGTGTGAAATTGACGATCATGAGGTTAGAACATAAAATGTTAGCACTGGATACATAAATGACAACTTGACTCTGAGTTTTCAGGCAACAAATACAAAGGAAGAAACATGTCCGTATTAAAAACAAAAACACAAAAAAGAAACTCATTCAGAGGGAGACCAGTCATCCTGGTTTTTGTCTTCCTCAGAAAAGATACTTGGAAGTCATGTACAACTTCCTAGAGCAATTATGAGCTCTGCAGGACTGCTGTATTTCATGGTATATGACAGTGGCTTTAAGGACAAACCCAACTCAATGGAAGCATTTTTTAAGGATATTTAATAGAGCAGAGGGCTCTTGTGGCTTGATGGTAAGGAGTTTTGCTGCTAACTGATAGGCAGGCAGTTTAAGTCCAAGAGGTGCTTTGAGAGAGAAATATGGGTAATCTCTTCACATGCAATTTTTAGCCTCTGAAAACCTGCTGGAGGATGTGCTGTGCATCAGTTCCAACAATGACACATAACAATAACAACAATTGGGTGGGACAGAAAACAGATGGGCTCAAGACACTGTCCATGGATGTGGCATCTAACAATCAAGCCCCTTAGTGTTGGGTTTATAATGTCCAAATATTTTATATCCCAAATATCCCAAAGCCTATCCCAAGGAACACGACTTCCTTGCAGTACTTTCTTTGAGGCACTTGGAAAGAAAGAATTCTAGGCGCCTTTCCACATGGTGTCAGCAACCAACTCTGTCCCCGCACTGGCTTGTGCCTGCATTGTCCCCGCACCAGCAGCATTACCTTGCTGAAGCTCTGAAAGTCTCCCCAAGAAAAAAGAAGTCTGATGCCTCCTGTTCAAGACAATATTTCTCAAGCTCACTTCTTTCCTTTATCACCTGTCCCTCGGTCCACAAGTTTTGAGACAGGTAGAGGAGTGGAAGGAGTTAGCAAAGTTGATTCTCCTCAGATTGTTGGCTTTCTTGACAGGCTTTTGCATTGGTGGTAGTTTTGTTATTTTTCCAATAACAAAATTAGCACATGGCTATTTAAGAGAAATTCAAACCATACAGAGCATATCACGAAACTGAAATGCAGCCCCCTTGAAACAGCTTCTGTGATGTGCTCACTGAGAGAAATTTGGCCCGTGTTCTAGATTTTTCCGTGTGCAGCTGCTGAAGAAGGTAGTGGTTACAATCTCAGGCACAGGCAGTCTGAAGTTCATCTCTCAGGTCTGCTACATATTGTTTGTTGTGAGGCCTCAGATAAATCACATTACCCTCTTGGGGCTCCAGTTTTTGCATCTGTAAAGTATGTGTAATAATAGCACTTACTTCACTAAGATT